GGATGGAATGAAACGCAAAGCTGCAGGCAACACGCCACGTTATCGCCTCCGTTTCCTCCATACTAACAAAGCAAATGTTGGAAGATACACAAAGAGATGAAAACAGAAGTGACAGAGAGACAAAGCCACACAAAATACCATTACTACCTTTTTATGACACGTCCAATAATATGTATGACTTAATATAGTGTAGAGCATCACACTCTGCAGCTTAACATTGTTATTCAATCTGGCTTTATTCTGCACTGTAGCAGCAGCAGTCGCCTGGAGTTAACAATCACCCAGACTCAGCAGAGAGAAATGTGGGTCTGAGGCCACATCCTGAAGAAAATGAAATGAAAACGACACATTCTTCAGTCGACCAAAGGCACCGCAATATTTACACCACACCTTTTCATTTCCATCATGGAAATACAGCAATATGACAGCGAGACCACTCCAGTCGGGTCTGACAGGTAAAGGGACAGTTCACCCGAATTACCACAAAGCATTCCCTCCCATGTCTTTTTTGGCAGATGGATCACTCACAATAGCCCTGGGTGTGAAATTTTCTGTGATTTCTACTCCGGTTTGATCAATGCACATAATCAGTCTGGATGTCTTACAGTACTTTAAGGTCGAGCACAGGTCAGTTTGGATGTGCATGTTGTCACGCAGGCACTTTTAAAAGCACCAAAACAGGAAAGTGTCAGGCACAGGAAACACAATGTCTGTTTTATAAAACGTTTAGGTGAAAAATAGAAAGAGTCTGTCTAGTTTCTAATTCTAGGAAATCACAGTGAATGTTTCAGTTTAACTGGTTGAATGTCACCCTCATGGAGAGCATAGCAACCAATGCTGAATACGTAGAGATAACACAGGTAAACGTTTTGGTGTGAATAGGATTTACTCTCCAGGCCTGTAAGAAACAACCACTCTCCAGTCTTCATGTGTGTTGCCTCCAAAGTGAACCAAGAATTCATTAATCCAGTTTTTATCTATCATGTTACCACTTCACAACAATGGAGGAAATTAGTTTGAGGTATTCAAAGAATTGAAAAATGACCAATGAAATTCCGTTGTTTCCATTGGACTGGGGTATTATAATTGTGGATATTTCAGCACAAGGGCACATAAAGCCAAACATATTCTAACATATGGCCAAACGTGTGTGTATTCTTGGTCTGGGGCTGTTTTCCACGGTTTCAGTTAGAGGGAATGTCAAAGCCCCAGGAGACAATGAGGTTTAAAAGACTACTCTGTGGCAGCAGTTGAGGGAAAGGCCATTTATTTTCCAAAATAAATAACACAAAGCAACACCAAAAAAAACTTTTTATAGTGGCCAAAGTGAGAGAGTTTAAAAACTGCCACTGAGCCCTTTTGTAGAAGCAGTCAAACTGCTTTTGTTGTTATTTACTATATGTCTGTACTGACTTTGTGTTCAAGTAAAATGGAACAAAAGCGCAGCGCTGTTTGCTATGAAATGCAAAGTGTGTGACAATGGAATGAAAGTCCACTCCACAACAAGAGACAAAGGAACAGCAAAGTGGTCCTGACACTTAAAGAGCCCACAGTGCTTGTCCTTGTTTTCTGACGCATCTACAATGTGACAACGGTGAATTATCATCTCAGATGTGACCTAAAGCTCAAACAATGAGGTGAACGTATGTTCTAATATTTTTATGCAGAAGCTACTCGGTTTATACATGGCTGGCAAATTTTTACTCCTGAGACTTTTTTTCTAAAAAGATGAAGGATTTCGTGATAGTTTAAGGATTTCGTTGAATGGTCATATTCTCCAGGCAACTGTGTGGTGTCCCCACCACACTGGCAAAATGCTATACTGCCTTGTTTGTGACGTGTATTTTCAATAAAGCTTATAAAAAAAAAAAAGACCTCCACCAGTGACATCGTAAAAGCTGAATCTTTTGACTGGTTTTGTAGACATATTCTCCCTCCTGCTGCTGCACTGTGACCAGAAGATGTGGAGAAAAACCCAGGGCCTGGGGTTACTACATGTATGGGAATGTTCCTGTACAGGGACTCACTGTTTCACCTGACCACGTCTAACTTACAAGCAGCCGGCCAGTGAAGCCACCACAGCAGTTAGTGATCAGCTCATCAACATTGGATTCCCCCGGAGCACAGTACCTGTTTGTCCTGACTGCTTGAGGCCAGTGTGTCTGCCACATGTGACGTGCTGCTGGTTAGCCAGCGGATTAACGCTCCATGATGTTATTGTCGGTGCTACACTACCTGTTAGAATTTGTTTCACTACTGTAGGACTGTATGTGGTCGTGGGGGGAAGATACAATGACCACTGGTTTGATTTACCGACCTTGGAGCTACTTGAAGGGGAGTGATGTTTCCACTACTTGGTGGGACTTAACAGTAAGTTTAAAAAACAAATGTTGTGTGTCTGTTAATGCCTTGTTTCTGTAACGTTAGAGAATTGTTGTAAGGCTGGAGAAGTTACTATGTCTGCATTATGACAGTTAAAATATGGGGTTTATCAATTACCCGCTTTGTTTAGAGTGTTACACATCTCTTTTCAACGGTACATATATTGTTGTTTACCTATCTATGGAGGAGAAATTCTAATTAATTAATGCCTTCACAGTTTGTCCTGCTGTCCACCTGTGACACAACACCGGCAGCAGGAGTTGTGCACATTCACAAACTGTCCTCTCGTTTTTAGGAAGAGGTTCTAATAATAATAATAATTACAGACTATTTGGAGTTCTGAGGGGTGCCAAGCTAATGTAGAGGTACCCAAAATTAAAACATTAAATGGCTGGAAATGAGCAAAATGAGCAGCTGCAGGGACTTTAATGACTCATAGAAAATTCCAGTCCAGTGGCCTCGACTGAAGTGGCCAGCAGCAGAAAACACTGTTGTTTACATTCCACAACTTTCTACACTTACATCAGAACAGAAGATTTAGAGGAATCTTACACAAAAAGGTTACCTGAAAGTTGACAAATGAAGCATTCATTCAGGCAGAGCACTGAAGTCGTACTTGTACTGGCTGACTGGGGTTATACAGCATGGATATTAAAACCTACATGATCACATGCTGCTCCCTCCACCACCACAGCCTCCTCCTCTCCTTTCTGTGTGGTGTTTGTGTTGTTGATTTAACTTTGTTGAATGCCACATTCTTTGACGACTCCCTCAAACAGCAGCTGTAAAACCAATGATCAGTTCCCTACCACAAGTGTCTCTAACTGAAGTCTTAGTTTAAATTTAAAAATTGCAGTTACACAAAACCACACACCCCTGCAGATCCTCTGATCTGAGACGACTCCTTTATGCTTTTAATTTGTTGCTACAGTCAACAAGAATGTCAGTGAGCCTTCTTCTTTGTTTGAATATTTATACGTGCATGTGGGTCCTTTTACGACAGAACCCATGAAACAGACAACTGGCTGTGTACGTCCCCATCTGAATGTGACATTGTATCAATAACACCCAAACACAAACACAACTGTTGTTTTTAAAGTCAGATGTGTAATCCTCCCTGACAAACCAAACACAGCAGCGCTCCGCTCTGTCGTCTCCATCACGCTGTTTCTTCGCCTCTTTGTTTTTCCATCTCCCACGCTCTTATCTTCTATTGCCTTCTCTCTCTCCCTCACATCTGTCTCCATTGTTTAAGCTCCCTCGCCCTCTTGCACCTCCTGACTGAAACCTTTAAACTGTCTCCTGCTTCATCATGTGCATCTGCTTGTCACATATCTGATGTTGTACTGTAAGAAGAGGATCATCTCCTCTGCTGTTTTTGTTGCCGGAGGAGCTTCACAATACATGCGTTTGTCTTTGTATAGCTGTGAGGACACGCCCAAACCTAACCTAATCCCATTGTCAGACAACATCCTCACAGTGCTGTCATCAACTAAACTTTGTCTATAGAAATACATGCGCACTCACATGCAAAGAGCTGCTTGGTGTTGACTTCTATCGTGTTCAGTCTGTTTACAACTGGATCATTTGCATCTGTTAAAGGAAAATTCTGCTTTTGGTTGACACCGTTGGCCCCTGTCAGGGATTACGATTAACTCTTATCTATTTAAAGCCACAGCAGCCTAAGGTGAACAGATCAGCCCAGGGTCAGGCTCAGCGACAGAGGTGAGTTTAGTCTCTGACATATTATCAACAAATTTAGCTGCTGCTGTGTGTCATTTTCTCTACAGGAACATTTTCAACTCGTAAACAATATTTAAAGCTCCATGCTGATGTTTTTCCATGACTACGTGACACATGAGGGCCACGTGCAGGACCTGAAAGCCATTCACGAGCCTTTGTGATGTCGGGACATCAACTACTAGAAAGAACTAGTAATACTAATATAAAATATGTATACAATAATTTGATACTTCAGTCAAAGCAATGCTTTTATAAAGCAAATTTAAACAGAGAAATTTAAAATGCATATACTGTATTTAACACACAGAAGCCCTGTTAATCAGGAAGCTCTAGTGGATATTCCTTACCCACTACTACATAATTAAAAACTTGACTCCACACTTTCCCCATTTTTTTTACAATTACAGTAGTACCGATGTGATTAGGCCTTTCTTGAAAAACATCCCAGTACTTTACAGCTAAATACCTGCTAATTTTAGGGCATCTGGAGGAAATTTACAAAAATACATAAGCCATAAAATAAAACGTTACCTGACTTCTTAATGATTTTCCTGTCCTGAGCTTTTGCCAGCACCAGGATGAAATGCCAGTGATGGTTTCTGCTAACAGAACTTCCAATAAGTTGCTCACAAAACAAAGCATTCTCTTAATTTTGTGTCTTTGTGCACACCTTATCTTACCAAATTTGACATATTTTCTGTCTTTCAAAAACAGGCATATTAGCTAATTAAGGTATGACCAGTGTGTCATTTTGCTATTTTTATGGTCAATAACGAACCTTAAGGCTAAAGGAAAATCTAAAATATTGAGCACTTACTGGCTAAAACAACATCAGAGCCATGGTTGATAACTGTAAATTAATCCCCCTAATGTACCTGGTGGCAGATCTCGTGGACAACCACCATGGTGAGCTCCATCTGATAGGACAACGACGACACCTCTGCGTCCAACAGGATCTTCTGCTCCACAAAGACGCTCAGCCCCCAGTTCTCCATGGCGGCGTAGGGGTGTTTGGGCACCGCCAACAAGTCTGCAAACCACATACAACAACACATCATGGCTTTTCAACACATGCTGAATGTGCTCCTCTGTTAATAAACTCCCAATCAAATTCCTCCAGTGCACCTCCACCATTTAAATAAAAGACGGCAATTGCTCTGACAGAATGACTGCTGGCATCAGAGGAGATCCCACTCTGAAGTAAAATTAAACTCATGAGTCATTTTAACAACCTGTCAACGACTCCTTTCATCCCCACAACATGGATATATGGAGCTTTTCAGATAACTCATACATATATCTGCAGTAGAGGGAAGCAGACAGACAGAGACAAGGGAAGACATGGAGGGAGAAGAAAAGAAGGAGAACGATTCCTGTGGTGAAGGGGCAGGGAGGAGGTGAGGAAAGGCATTTACTGTCAGTACTGAAGATTTATTAGAGAGGGTGAGAAGTAATTAAAAGTCAAACTTCAGCAGAAGTCGAGTTACTGAGACGGACAACATTATTTTGGTGTACCAGACAGATGCTCGGTGTAAATATCGATAACATTAGCTAGTTAGCTTACGAACTAGCTTAGCTACATCTCCGTTTGTAAGATAACCGATACATAACTCTACCTTCGTAGTCGTGGATGTATGAAGAAGCATATAGCTTAAACCCCTTATCCAGCTTGCTGCCCGGTGTATTAGACGTCGAACTGCATATTCGGTGAACATCCGTGATCTTCATCTTTGGTAGTTCTTGAAGACATCTTGAGTAGAACAGTGCCATATTTCATACTAGTCGCAAACCGGAAACGGATGATTCTGTTTTGCAGTATACGGAAGTAAGTTGCGCATAACCCCTATAGACTATAAGAGAAACTGGGTGAACAATTTTATCTCTCTTTGCTCCTCTTGTTTACTGGCTCACGGCAGGGTTGCTACTTTTCCAAGAGGGTGTTTGGGAATGCCATCATATATGAAACTGTTCATGTGTTTGGTCTGATGTCCAGAGGTTTATCAGTGCAGGACTCTGATGATGAACAGGACTGGGGGTGAAGCTGGGCTTTCTCCTGAGGGAAAGGCGTTTGGTGAGTCTACACCATGGACTGAACAAATGATGCTGATTTTAGCCTTTATCACTTCCCAACAGATTCATGTATATTTAACCTGAGACGACATCAAAGCAATAATCACTATAATCAGCCTGACATTAGCATTTAATAAATAAATGAATGAGTGCAAGCATTTCCATTATCATTATCTATATCGCTTATTCCTGAACGGGATCGCTGGAGTCAATCCCAGCTGTCACTAGGCAAGAGGTGGGGTCCATCCTGGACAGGTCACCAGTCTGTCACACTCACACTCACTCTACAGGCAATTGAGAGTCACCAATCAACCTCAGCTGCATGTCTTTGGGCTGTGGGAGGAAGCCGCAGTACCCGGAGAGAACCCACGCAGGGAGAGCACGTAGACTCTGCACAGCCCAGGTTGGTCAGCGTTGAACTCTGAGCCTTCTTGCTGCGAGGCAACAGTGCTAACCACCACGCCGCTGTGCTGCCCTGCAGATATCTCATTCAGTTTAATTTGACCATTGTACCGTAGCACTCAAATAGACACCCTGGATCTTTTCTACTGGTAGCTCGGAGTTTGATATGTCTTACATTAAGCTGCATGTGCTGATTTGCTCTGGGTGACTGTGTTCAGCTAACACATTATAAAAGACCATAAAAACTAAATTCAAAAGCTGTGATGTGCCAGCATCCAATCCCATGCCAGCTGCTGCTCTTAGGCTGAATGTGATTGGCTAACAGCTCATTATGCTCCAGATGAGTGAGGCTCAGACAGCAGAACGACTAGCTGGCTGAGGGGAAATGGTTTAACTTCAGGGGGAAATGCAAACAGGGCTATTTGGTTTAAGGTGGAATATGCAAAGGAGACATTATACTCAATGGGCATTTAAATGAAAATGAAATGAATTGTTTGCTTTTACTGCAGAATGAGCCCTTCAGGAGGTTTCAGCATCCCAGAACACACACACACTCCTGAGTTAGGCTCCTTTTAGTCTCTAGGTCGCTCTGCTGTTTCACCTGGACACTTTCTCTGCCTGCAGCCTCTCTTTTATCACTTATTTTCTCTTTTCTGTCTGTCAGAGATGGAGAATTAACTACAAATATTTGCTCATTTGTGGTCTGCAGTGACACGAGTCCTGGAGCAAAATGCGCTACAGAGTCATTAGCTTAATCCAAATGCTAAAGAGAAAGTCCTTCACTGATTTTACATATAAGATGCACAGAGCACTACTCAGCCTGTGACAACAGTTGTACAGGGTCCTCTGCAGTGTTTCTCCTTTAAGAGAACAGGCATGACGGACCGTCAATGAGGCCCCCTGCCT